CAGCTTCCAGCACCACCCGATCCTTCAGAAGAAACTGGTTGTGATCTTTCCATGCAATGATCGAGATTGTATTCCTTCGACCACCTCCGGCCGCACTGAGAAATATCTAGGGATGTATACATATCAAGTGAATTAATCTTACCTTAGGTGAACAGGTCCTTATCTTAGCCACAATCAATATGTGAACAAGGTAGGGAACAATAGTATAATTGGTAAGATTGGTACACATATTCTATGACACATTTGAAGAATTATAGAACTTCCGATTTATCTTTCACAGTTTGCCTTTTGCAAAATGTATATATTACACAACTGCCTCTCCTATCCGTCCTTTACAACCAGCTGAAAAAAGACTAAATCTTCAAATGGCCAAGTTAAACTTTAGACACCAGTAACTACCAATCAGCGAACGACGTCGAATTATCCAATGAGATTCACGAACGCAGTTCAATGTTGTATAGCGCTTGATTCATTTCATTGCGTGCCCTTACAAGGTTGCGTTTGCATATTGAGAAGGATATTGTCTTTCAGTATTGCCTGGACTTAGGCTTGTTTCGAAAGGAGAGAAGTTGTTCGTGTGGTTGTGTAATGACTCTAAAAAGGCGAAGTTCAACAATAGAGTCCCAGGATTGTAAATGTTCCAATGACCTTGTAAATGTTTCAATGACCCTGAACGCATGCTAGTCATTGGTCGAGGAAGCTCACCATTATTCTAGCGCGAGTGATTATGCGTACTGGTAAGTGACACTGAATTAATTGTCTTCTAGGAACTTTCTTTGAAAAGTTGAGACTGTCTTTGACGATTGGTTGTTATTGGTGTCGACAGTTTAACTTTGTCTGAATATCTTGTTGCTGTCCAATTACTCTAAAAAATTACTATTTCAACTGATGGTTTTGTACATCGTTGGCGAGTTAGTATTAGAGAGGAACTTTTTTTGCTAGGTCGCATCCCTCCCTAACCCAGATTTTGTACATTTACAATTACTGGCTACTGAAACAGTCCGTGAGAGCCGCTGCTCCCGAGACGGAGAACAGCGTCGTCTCGACAGTTCAGTGGTACCAACACTGCGGAGACATCGCCTCATGGAAAATGTACAGAATTACTTCGTTGTTAGGCGGGGACGATGTAGTAGTCCTTGTGTATGAGACAGTGTTTGTGAAGAAGAAATATAACGGCGGTCGTCAGAGAGCGAACAACATTTGGGTTATAGGTTTTTAGGTGATTGAAGGTATCGACGTTCGCGAGTTGTACGGATTATACTAATGCAAGATCTTATACCAACAACCACTATAGTGTTCGTTCTTCGAGTACCAAATGGTAAAGCAAAAGACCAGATTTTGTCGTCCAAATACGATATATATTTTGGGACCAAATCGCGGGTAGGAATGAATGCTTAGCTAGCTAGTAATCGTGCACGCACGTGACACGGCGAAGAGCACCAAATGGCGGGGATGCTTGACCGTAAGCCTTCAGCTAAACAAGTCGACTTAAACAGTGATGGTCAGCATCCAATGTTGAGTGATGATTGCTGTGGTTAATAATTTTGGGGAATTATTTACCGCTACAGCTCACTCCCCCCCTAGTGGGGTTGTGAGGCCCCTAAGACATGACCAGCCGGAAGTAAAAAATCTCGATGGTTCCCTGATGGGTGAAAAAATCTTCCGAGCGGCTTGATCGAGAGCCTGCTGGTCTGTCTTCCTATGCTAATAGGGTGTCTGTACATAGCTTCCCGGATGTTGTTCGTTGGATCCCGTGCTTCGTTTGTTTCCTGTCCAGTGCCCGTTGCACCTGGAAAAGAAAACAAGAATGCTGAGAACCTTGTCAAGAAAAATGTACCAAATAAGCGTTTTTTTTACCAAAAAGAAAATGACATGCATCTACTATACAGTAAAATAATGTAAAGTGCAAAATATCGGGAAAAAAATATACATCTAATTTAATTTAATGTACGGTTATAGGAAAAATATCATGTACTTGTGTTAAATGACGCAACATAAAAAAAATTGATGTGTCACCAGTTATGTGAGATAGGTGTGAAGGTATTCTGGGAATCTAACGTGACGTCCAGAACGCGTTTTCTTAGAGTGATCGACCGAAGTAGCCAGTGGGCGAATGCCCTGACAGTCAATAGTGTGACTCAGAAAATCGAGTGAGTCAACGCCTATCTGACACTTCTGTATATTGATGGTAACACCATGTTGGCGTAACCTTTCAAATGCCAAGTCCAAGTGTCTAAGGTGAGTTTCCTTATCTGGACTGGCAATGAGGCAGTCGTCTAAGTATGCGTATACAAAGTCGAGACCGCGAAATACTTCATCGATGAAGCGTTGGAATGTTTGGGCCGCATTCCGGAGGCCGAATGGCATACGTAGGAATTCAAAAAGTCCGAAAGGCAAAGGGTAGCAATCAGGAGTTGTTTTGGCGTTCACTCGCCGGTAATCACCAGTGGGTCGCCAATCGTTGCTATCCTTTTTCGGTACCATATGCAACGGGGATGCCCATGGACTATTCGATGGCCGAATGATGCCAAGGGTGAGCATATGATCGAATTCGTTTCTGGCAATTCTCAGTTTATCAAGGGCCAGTCGTCGTGCTTTAGATGTCACGGGCTGTCCTGAGGTTATGATGTGGTGCATAACATTGCTGGTTATACACGGGAGGTCGTTAGATGGGCAATTCAGTTCCGGATATTTATCAACAATCGGTTGAAAAGTTGGATCGAGGATTGCTTTCATCTTAACGATTGACAAGCTGGGGCCTACGTAAGTTATGCCTTTGATAGACAAACTAGTAGTGTTGTCAATTAATCGTTTACGGCGGACGTCTACGAGCAAATCATGATGATTAAGTAGGTCCGTGCCGATGATGGGCATTGTGACGTCAGCGATCAGAAAAATCCACCGAATAGGTTTGCGTAAACCTACGTTCAGATAGACGTATTTCCGACCATAGGTTGCAATTGGTTTTCCATTTGCAGCCTGTAGGTTGAGGTTAGGATCCTTCTGTCGATCTGCTGCTGTAGCAGGAAGGACGCTGACTTCGGCGCCTGTGTCGACTAGATATCTAGTCTGGCTAATTACATCATGGATGTAAAGTAAGCGGCTAGTGCCACCGGCGACGGTTGCCGCTAACGCGTGCCGGCGGGATAGTTTCCCACAGACTTGGAGGTTTTGCCGAAATCACAAGGTTTTCGACAACATTTCGCTTCCTTGCCATAGGTGTTGTGATACCAACACCAGTCAGGATTTTTGAGAGAGCGTGTGTTGGACTTAGATCGTCCACGTGCGTTTTGCCGTTGAGGGGATCTAGAACGACGGTTTGAGGAATTGCTAGGCTTGTTTGACCTAAGCATCTGCTGGACGGAGTTGCATAACTCTATCATTGCAGAATCCTTTCTCGAAGTCTGTTCGGTAACAGAGTATACTTCAGTAACTGGCCGTTTCGTTATCTCTAGAATTCTATCTGCAGAGACAGCTAAATCATCTATGAGAACACCCTGAAGTGTCACAAGTACAGTCTGAACTGACTGTGGCAGTTTGGATAAAAATAGTTCTCTAAACAGTCCTTCATCGAACTGACTTTGGCCAATGATCTCTTTCATTCTTGCCAGCATGCTCACGGCTGACTGATCTCCTAACTCGATGTTACGAAATAACTCATCCAGACGTTGTCGATCTGTGAGAACGTTTCTCTTGAGGATGGATGCTTTTAGCAACTCGTACGAGTTACTTACCGACATCTGCAGAGTTACGCACTTGCTGAATTCCCGCGGTAGAGCGTGAATAACTGCAAGGAACTGTGAACGTTGATCAGTAATGCCATGTTCACAAAAATCAGACTCAGCAATCCGAAACCACGTTTCAGCATTATCTGGCCAAAATGGTACTAGCTGAATTGTTTTGGCGGTTGAGCGGATCTGAATAACCTTCGGGCTAGGATCACTCATGACGAAAAGTATGCCGATAGCAATATAGTACAAGAATAAACACAAAAAGGAACGAACTCACCGGGTTTATCTGCGTGTGAATTGAAGATGAAGTTCGAGGTTGGGCTCACCAGTTTAGTGATTGACGGTATCGACGTTCGCGAGTTGTACGGATTATACTAATGCAAGATCTTATACCAACAACCACTATAGTGTTCGTTCTTCGAGTACCAAATGGTAAAGCAAAAGACCAGATTTTGTCGTCCAAATACGATATATATTTTGGGACCAAATCGCGGGTAGGAATGAATGCTTAGCTAGCTAGTAATCGTGCACGCACGTGACACGACGAAGAGCACCAAATGGCGGGGATGCTTGACCGTAAGCCTTCAGCTAAACAAGTCGACTTAAACAGTGATGGTCAGCATCCAATGTTGAGTGATGATTGCTGTGGTTAATAATTTTGGGGAATTATTTACCGCTACAGGTTTATACGACATGTCCATCCGAAAAAGATTTGTTGAAAAAATAGCAGATAGGAAGACGACTACTCTGATACCTTTTATAAAGCGACTTGTGAAGCCGGGATCAATTGTACATACCGACGAGTGGAAAGGCTATGATGTGACTTCTCTATTGACAGTCCCACGCTGAATTGGGAAATGTTTCTCTCCCATGTTCGGGAAAGAAACCCATTGTAACCGTTTTATCATTTTTCATGCATTTTTCTATAAATATACGTTACCGCTTATCATAAACGCCTATTTCATGTGATTGGTCCGTTCAAGGTCGTTTGCTGATTGGTTGTTACTGGTGTCTAAAGTTTAACTTTGCCCTTCAAATTTTATACCTCTTTGATTATGTTACAGAATAATATTCTTTTTGTTAATGGATCCAATGCATGACACATCTGTAAAATTTTACATTTGTTAACTTGTTCCATTAAGCTGAAAAAATGTAATGTTTATGCGATTTTTATTATTATCATTTCAAAGCCCGCCTCAGTAACGTATGCTACGTATTAGCCGCAGCATTTATGCAAAGGCGATTCCACCAATCACAATACACACAAGTGACCTTGAAGTGCTCAGCCTCTGCAAAAGGTCGTATGTGTCTCTATCCATTGCCTTGCGGATTTCCTCAACCAAACGCCTGGGTACGCTAAGTATTAACCACTTATATTGAATAAGTAACTTTGAACTATAGCAGCTCATAACGCAACTACCTAATAAACAGCGCGATGACCTTGAGCGGCCCTTTCGATAAGCCCGTGGTATGTAGGCGGAGTTACGGATACTGCACACGAATTACTTACCAAATTTCATCCATATCTCGTGTTTAAGTGCTGCCTAGATCACAGGCTTATTAGAAAGGAGAAAACGTGTAGACAACTGTCATATAACAGGGATATATCCCTGGACTATATTCATAACGTGGCCACTAATACGGCCAGAGCGGGGAATGAGCCTAGAAACATGATGATTTAGTTATCTTGACTAATATTCGCAGAGAAATTGATTTAACCTAACTATGAGGACACCCATGAGAAGCTGGAGACTTTTTTTACATCTAGTACAAGGAAGTCATCATATGTAACTACCTATTAACGTTGCATTACTTATATATAATCGTCTTTGCCAAATTACGCACTTCTGTTTCGGCTGTGCCTGATTAATCAGTAGTGATTTATCAGTCGGGTTTGTTTTGGGCTGCTAAAGTTTCGAGTTCAGAGGGTCACTCTTGTGATTCTTCTGTTTGGTGTACCAATCATCGGAATTTATGAATCCTTTTCTTCCTGGTTGATGTGGTCACAGTATATTTGGCCAACATTCATTCGTATATTGAGTATATTGTAATTTCGGTCCTCTAGAGAACTGCGACAAGTCTGCCGGTTTTGTCCCAAATTTTAGGGAATTCTTCTGGGTAGGAAAGACGTTGCCATTCTTTCATGTCTTTATTAATATACTACTATTAGTTCACTTGGTGTAGACGGGTAGCTAACATATCATGAGGTTCGGAAAGACTCAGGGTTGGTTAGACTAAAATTTTTGATTAATGCTTGACGTTATAGTCGTTTCGCCACGCGTAGGGGAATAGACTGCCGGATTGGAGTCCTCAGCATGATAAGGACCAATAGTTGGAGATAGTTGGCGATATGGTTCAAAATAATGTTCAATGAAAAGGAAACATTAAGTCTGTAATCTCCCAGATCCCCGTGTCTTTCCTCGTTACTATTCTTTCTCCCTTACTTTTCTGCTAATTATAGTTCATTTAAGCCTTCCTCACTCTTTTTTACCTCTGTGTGCTTCATAAAGTTCTGCAACCTAAATCGTTGCACTTTGTACTAAGTTCTTTATGGGAACAAACAATAATTAAACGGTTGCTAATCTAAATCACGGCTGAGCGATAGGACTTAATCATTTAACTTTCGGTGATAAGTCTTTGACTAGGATAGCCAAGGTAATGTTTAGTGCATGGCACTGTAATGTATTTCCATTACACTAGTGTAGATCTTCAACCGTCTTAGTGTGCAAGAATGGAGAATAACCATCCAGTGATATTTTATATATACATAAATGTATATCCCAAGCTTACAATAATTCTGAATTAAATCTCGCTAATTCGGAACCAACTCTAAAATTCTGTGATGAGTAAATTCTGAAATGGTTTGACTATGTACACGGACTAGAACTCAATGCTAGTTTTCAGCAGGACTGGAACTAATTCAGCCTCCTGTTCTTTTTCTAGGCATTTTCAGAAGTGGCTCAGAACCTACTGGGTTCACTAATCAGCGTTGTTTTGACCCTCTCAGCCCAGATTCAGCACTGATTGGCATTACTTCAGAACACTTTTTCAGCTTTATTTCAGCACTGAAGACGTTATTTAAGCTGCAAATCCTATTTTTAAGGTTTCGTCGACTAAACTAAATCCCCAGTGCTCTTTTTAAGAACGACCACAGTCATTTTAGCACATAGTGGGTTCATTTTAGTTAGATAAAATATCCGTTTACCATGAAAAGGCATTGTTGACGCATAGGTTAGGATTAGTTTAGAATTATTGTAAGCTTGGGTTCTAAAATGCTGACGTTTTTTTTACAATATTTTCACATATCCCTGCCGCCATCATAATTGTAATAATTTTTTCCATAAAATATTTCATTCCATGAGTAGTGTACATAAAGCAGACGATTTATAGTGTTCTCTCATTGACACTAGATATGAAGTTTGGAGTGTACATGGGTAATTTGAAGCCGTTGGTTCCTTGATGGTGAATATCGGTGGCCCTAGCAAATAAGGGAGAATTTTTAGTAGTTTGTATACAGAATTATGGTATACAATTGCCTCAATTTATGTTAATCAATGATGTCTAGTCTCAATTTAAGTGATAATAAGATCACAGAACGAACTGTTATGTAGCCATTCATTACCTGAAGTCTTTGTGTTCATTTAGTTTCTTTAGTTTAATACAGTTTTTTTGTTGTTGTAGCGAACCGTCCTTGTTTCGAAATTGGATTTCCTGCAGGGATTTCTTTTATGTCAATCCAATTTGCATGAATGGTAAAACAAGATCATGCATCAAAAAATATTCCTTTCCTTTTTTGCAAAAACGGTCAGGCATATTATGCAAGCACTTGGTGGAGTGTAGTAATCCGTTCATCGCATTCGATCATATAAGTGTGTCGTCATTAGTTTTTCGTTATTGTTACAGAAGTTCAACGAAATGAGTCAACAAGCTTGCACTCGCATATCGGTGTTCAACTCATTACCTACTTGGTGGATGGGGTTTTTAAAACTCCCGTTTCTTCATGGAACTCTCCTACACTAGAGTTTACTAAGTTTGAGTCTGAATGTCGTCATATGGAAACATTTGTTAGTGATGTTAATCATGACTCAGCAGAATTATTTAAAGTTTGGATCCACTGCAAACCTTCCGTATCAATGGATTATTCACACCATGGTTCACAACTCTATACATCAGATGATTTTACCGTATTACGAGAAGAGGACAATAGTGCTGAGCTGCGCATACTTTCAGGTTCAGTCTCAGGTAATTTTCATCTTCCTTTCCAATTTTCTTATCTGTTATATTTTCTCTTCTAAAGTAAAGCAATTTGTCTTTTTACTATTATCTTGTGCTGAGCGAAATTTGGAAAGCATCCATGTGAATCATACGCCAAATTTGATGTGACTTTATTAGTGTCGTCTTATATATTCTTTTCGTTTGTGGTATCTGTCGTGCATAAACTGAAACCATGTATGCACATATGGGTAATATTTCCTAGTGTTCACCACGGATGATGCTTCTAACCAAAATAAAATTGATCTGAGTTGACAATATTGAAAATGTCAAATGTGGGGTACCAGTCTCCTAATCACAAAGATAATGAATTTTACTTTGGGAAGGACCATGATAATTACATAAGGTATTACTTGATTAGTGATATTCACTTAGCTTAGGGAGGTTGATTTACATCGTGAAAATAGGCGCTAAACAGTATAATGTTCACCTATTCAAATCATCATCTCTCATCCTTTTTTTAGAGAGTAAATAATAGGTTTCGAATTTAACTGACTCACATCAGCTTCCATAATGGATAAGAATTTATTTTTAAATCACACAGTGTAGTACAGTTATATTCACTGATGACGTTTCGAGCACAAACTATTGCTCATAATCATATCAACAATCATATCAACTTGATATGATTATGAGCAATAGTTTGTGCTCGAAACGTCATCAGTGAATATAACTGTACTACACTGTGTGATTTAAAAATAAATTCTTATCCATTATGGAATTATACTCTACCACAGTGCCCAAGTTTTATACTTATATCACATCAGCTTATTGGTCTTAAGAAGCATCGCTTGTGTAATATTGTTTTTACCAAAAGTTAGACGCCACATTGCTGTTTAAGTGAATTAAGTCCTATGTAAAAGTTGAGGGTACTTTCAAAACATTTTTAAGAAGTGACTAGCTGACTGGCTTCAAAGTAGAACTTTGCACATATGTGTAACTTTCCTAGTTGCCACACTCCATGTAGCACACAAATCAAGAGAAGAGAGTAAAGATTCAGAAGAGAAACAATAAACATAAATGTGAGGGAGCAGTAATATGGAAGAACAGTAGAGTTTTATTAGATATGACAGATCCCAGAGAGTGAATTCATCTGCACCAATGAGAACGATTTTGAACTACGTCACCAATTGTCTCCAGCTTTTAGACGTAGTAAGAAAGTTGGCGTATCTGAGTAATTATGTGGCCACTGGTGGATGTGTAACTTATGCTGTATCCATTTGTTTACAGGAAACCAGAGTACTATACCGAAATGTGGGGGTATATCTGGTTCTCTTGAGGTGTTACTCTGCTCCTCAGAAATCGAGTATATGGTGCCGTGATGTATGGAATTATGCTCCGTGCTTTTTGAATCTTCTTATTTCAAGCTGAGGGTGCCCAAAAGCCTTTTGTTTAATTACCACCGTATTCGTGGGATTACTTCTATCTGCTAATGACACAGTGTATGAAGTTCTATAGCACATGCTTTAACAAAAGTGGAGATCAGATTTCGACAGCTGATATCATCACGACACTGTCTTGCTGATGTGTTACGTATGTTACTGTTTGCTATCTACTAAGCTTTGGAGTAGTTGGGAGATGTGAAGCGACTTTAGGGTACGATTGGCATCTGCGTTATGTTCGCATCTTTTTGTACATGACAACCTCATGGGCGGCCTTCAACAGATCATGCGACTCAATGGTTTGAGAAAATAGCAGATATCTTTCAAAATTAAAACAAATTATGGTTATGTCGCGAAGCTTTTAATTTCACACTTTGTGTTGTGTTGGTCTTCGTCTGCGAAGTATGTTTACGGCCCAAAGGGGAATTCTGTTTCTGCACAAGTAGAGAAGGTTGCAACCACCACTTAATGCTTAAGTCAGAAACTTAACAATAAATACTTTTAAATTATACATCTGATGGTAGCCCACCTTTTCATTTATTCATATGTTTTGACTGGAACTGGCGAAACTATCCTTTTGAAAGTAAAATGCTTTAGGTAATGTAAATACATTTTTAGGATGTACAGTAGGATGTACTGGTAATTGATATATATATATATATATATATATATATATATATATAGCTGCTTGAATATTTATGTACTTGAAAAGCGATTGTGTTTCGAGTGAATTTACATGTTCTAAGTTTGAGGAAAGGGTGATTTTCATGTTTGTTTTTGTGCTGTCCTTTGATTGAGGCAGTAACTGTTATAACAAGTGACACTAAACAGCTTATTCATTCAAATAAATTTTGCTGTTACTGCTTTTCTAACTCTAGCATATTCACTTAGTGAATTTAATTTGTTATCATATAGGTGTATCTGGACCTATTGAGACTGATCCACCAATTTGTTTCTTTGATCTATGCCTACAACATTCATCGTTCCAGTGTACTACTTATTGCTTACCATTGTCTGAAGAATATGAAACAGCCTTTGTCTACATCTATAATTCATCGGACAGGAAGAATTCTGTTCTAAGTATTGTTTCAGATGTACCCAACGAATCAACTTCATTAGCTATGCATGAAATCGCTGTTCTAAATTTTGTTGGAAATCTCGTGAAAATTAAATTGCACAATAACGTCAATTGTAAGTTATTTTCATCTCTTTTAAATTATTGGACTCAATCTAAAATCAGTTTTCATTTTAACAAATACTAATAAAGTAAACTTAGATTATATAGGTGTCTTTTGTGAAGCGTAAGATATGTGAAGTGACGTCTCAGGTATATATTGCAATGGTCACTACAATAAAATAATGAGTGTGCTACTGCCACAGACAGGAGAGGGAGGCTCCTCAATTTTGAAGTATTTGTTGTTTTACGTCACCATCTGATATTTGTTACAAAACTGACTTCTCTCCAGTTTGAGATGAGCACCTTGCTATACATTGCTTTATGGTAAATAAAAGTAGTAGCGAAACCATGTGGCCATTTCTAGTGTTCAAATTTAACTTTTATTTGTTAAGTCTTAATTCCCTGCTTAGTTTCCTCACCTTAAGAAAGTATGAAGAATCTGTGAGTATTCGATTTCCATACACCCAATTCCCTTGAGTAGTGTGGACATGGCAATAACCAATATATTTGTATGCTGAAAACAACTCATCTTTCCCCAGTATTCATTCAGTTGCTAACAACCTTAAAATTACAAGTTATTTTAAATGTAAACACATAACATACTTCTGTAAGTATTTCAACTCAAAGCACATTCTAGAATTCTTAGCACAGTAATCGGACAGGACGTATGAATACAAAAGTTACTTATCTGACAAGAGTTTATTTACATATTGTATGATGAGAAGTTCGAGAGAAGATGGTGGGAGTGAATTGTATGGTAAGTAAGAATGAAATTATTGCGTAGACAAAAAACTAAGTAAATTGGAAGAATAACAATCAGTTCACCTAAGCGAGTGAAAATTAATGAAAAGTTGTGATACAGCAAAGAACAGAAACAGAAAAGAAGCATCTATTTACCAGGGTAGATCAATCACACTGTCTTTCTGTATACAGACAGTAATGGCAAGGAGTGGATGCATCTGCGCCACTGAGAACGATTTTGAGCCATTTCACCAATTGTTTCCAACCATTGGTTTTTACCGTCCCGAGGACCCCAACCAGGAAGTCTACACCTTCCTACGTGCCCTAGACTAACTGCTGTAGATTTCATTGACTGGTGAGGCCATGTTTTCGTTTGACCGCCGCTAGCTCCTTTCCAGCCTGACCCTATATCAGCTAACATTGCCCGTCAGTCGAGTAAGGCGATGACTGGGCATACGTAACACATGTCCTAACCATCTCAGTCGATGTAATTTCATAGCCTCGTCGATTGATTTCCCCTCCTCACCTAGCACTCGACGCCTAACCTCAATATTGCTCACCTTATTATGCCACTTCACGCGAGAGATAGAACGCATACACCTATGATCAAAGACAGCCAATCTTTTCATGTCTTCCTCTCTCAAAGGCCAGGTCTCACAGCCATAAAGGAGGACGGAGCGGACTGATGAGCAGTACACACGCCCTTTGGTCCATAGTCGGATATCACGTCTACACCAGAGACGGCGTAAACTGGCATATGCGAAATTAGCCCTCTGTATTCGTGCTGAGATTTCGTCGGAGATCGAGCCGTTAGGGCTGATGGTACTTTCTAAGTAAGTGAAGCGGTCAACGTGCTCTACCACTTCACTTCCTATTTGTAATCTAGGAGTCGGTGTAGTCCAATCCTGCAACATTTTCTTACATTTTACAGGGGCGAATCGCATGCCAAACATACGAAGATTGTTGCTCAAGGTGTTCAGTAGACTCTGCATTTTGTCAGCGTCCTCGCCTAGAAGGACTATATCGTCCGCATATTCTAAGTCGACGAGATTATTCCCTGGTAGCAAGTCAATCCCTGAGTCGCTGAAGTGTGTTAGGGTCAAGTCCATTAGTACGTCTATGATGAAGTTGAATAGGAATGGGGATAATGGGCATCCTTGACGGACGCCACTAGTCGTCACCACTTCAGATGACAACTCGCCATAAGCCCTCACCTGGCTGCATGAGTACGAGTAGAGTGCCTTAATCAGTGCAATGTATTTTCTCGGCATTCCCTTTACAGCCAAGCATCGCCAGAGAACCTCTCGGTCGACAGAATCGAATGCCGCCTTTAGGTCAAGAAAAATAATGACTGTCGGATGCCGGTAGGAATGCCTATGTTCTAGAATCTGTCGAAGGGTGAAGATATGATCAATACACCCTCTACCTGGCCTAAAACCTGCCTGGTTTTCTCGTGTTTGTGTCTCCCGAGCACCACTTAGTCTACGCAGTATTATTGAGCCTAGGATTTTAGATACTATATTAGTCAAGCTAATCCCTCTGTGATTATCACAAGAAAACTTGTCTACCTTCTTGTATATCGGGATGATCAGTGACTTACACCAACCCGATGGGACTTCCTCTGATTCCCAGACGCTGCCTAGAACCTCAGTTAACGCAGACAGTAAACTGTCTCCACCGTACTTAAATACCTCTGGAGTCAATCCATCAGGTCAGATATTAATCATAGACATTTGAAACCAATGTAGTTACAAAATTAAAGTTCAAACCTATGAATTAGTGGTTAATAGTCCAGGTGATCATAATAATAACAACAACAAGGGAAAATTCATGTTTTAAGTAGTCAGTCTTCGTATGTAAGTAGGAATGTGTGTACTTGTAAGAATATTGGCTAGATAATAATAATGACATAAGAAATTATTAAACTCAGATTAAAATATGCAGTTATAGCACAATATAATATTGACAATAAAGATAGAGTTAACAGCATGAATAAAGATAATATCTACAGTTGTCCGGTGTCACCGGGAGAGATAACTACTTTAGATCAAGGGTGAAAGCCATGGGAGGGAAAGGGACTGAACAAACGTTTTCTGAACATAAAGATTGGATTGAGGGTGTCTTATGGATACTGTCTCGGCTATACTCAACAATCAAAGGCGTACAAGCCTAGAGAATTGAGGTGGCACCTTGTACAGAACTGTAAGGGCTGAATTTTTATCAATCCTGTTCTCCATATCTACTAGATGCGCCATTACGGAACTCCTGATTGACTTTATAACTCCTTTTCCTAACTATGTTAGATAACGTTCAAGAAGGCCACGGTAGCCTTGCTGAGTCGTTCCACGCATATAACTATCTCCACAAGAGTATTTAGATTTATGAGTGTACACTAAAAGCGGCCAAACTGTGAATTACTCTAAGATTCACTTGCTCTCCATTCTTTAGTATTTATATCTTATTAATAGTAAATTTGTGAAGTGGCTTACAAGGCTTCCATTTTGTCAGTTGCTGTAGTCGTATATTTGTTCTCCAGAACCCTTTTGGTGTGGTGAGAGCTGTCTACTAGCCAAATTGGTAGGCAGTAATTTACGTCAATATTTACGTTCCCAAGATTTGTCGTGAGAAAATGTGAACAAAGATTGATTCAAAACCGACCACAGCAGACTTTGCGTAGGCGGATGCAATTAACATATAGAGGATTCGACATTCAAGAAACAGTCACAAATAGATGAAAGATTAACTTTACGTGAGAAACAACCAATCGGAAGACTGTGTTTGTTTGCTTAAATATCCATAGTAATGTACATGAAAATATATAAATATGCGTTGATTTCCTTAATAAATGATCTGTTGCCTGACCCTTGCCTTCTGTCGTTACATTGGTAGTTTAAAAGTGTGATGTATATGGTATTTTTTCAAACTGGGTGTAACATGCGTATAATATACATTTTATCCATACATATATTCTTACAGGAATTAACTTTCCTCTGGAAAGCATTTCAAGTTAGATTTCATCACGAAACTGTATCAGCTAAACAAACTCTGAAAACTATGGAGCACTGAATAGTTGTTTCTTCCTAGCTCAGGACTTTTCCATCTTACACACCCATAACTCCACGAGGAATCAATACTAGGTCCTTCAGGTTACGAGGTGACCACGTCGCCATTCTTCCACTGTCCTGGTATGCAATAACCCATGAGTTATTTCAGTCTGCGACATCGCGCCACTGCCATCCCGGGTGGAGTTACCATTACATGCTGCTTAGGAATCCAAGAGGTGGAACAAAACGTTGTCCATAGCATCCTCGTTTTCAATGGTTATCTAAATGACCCCTGTCCATCACTAAGTCTACCTTGAAATTAATCAGATCCCTGCAAAAGAGTATTTAAAATTAAAATATTTCTTACTTTTGTTTAAATTTTCAGTTTGTCGTGTAATCATTTTAGCTGGAAAACGAATCGAGTTACCTAAATCGTCCAGTTTTGCAGAAAACGCTTTTGTAAGTCGTTTATTCCTAGTTTGTGCTGAATTTTACCGCTTATTTTTAATTTTTTTAATTGTAATTTGACTATTATCAACTTATAAGTATTTTCAATTCGCGAAATATACCCATTAAGACATTGAAATAAGAACAAATTAGTTCAGCGAAGAGTCTCTTTTCGGCGAATTCATTCACTTAGCTGTACAGTCGCAAATATATACAATTATTTTGTGTGTGTGTGTGTGTACATTAGGTTTCTCAAAATCAAAATCAAAATAACAGTTAGTGTGGGTTGTTGATTATATCATCAAAATAATAAAGAAATTAAAATGTGTGATTAATAATCAAAGTTGCAACTAAGTGGGGTGAAGATTGGTAAGATGTGAGTAGGGTTACATCATCAAAATAATAAAGAAATTAAAATGTGTGATTAATAATCAAAGTTGCAACTAAGTGGGGTGAAGATTGGTAAGATGTGAGTAGGGTTACGTAATATAGACATGTTTAGAAAGATTAGATGCTAGTGAAGGAGTATGGAGACAATTATGAAAATAAACTAGATAAAAGGTGAAAAGGTTGGATGGGTTAGTTACTAAAATTATTATACGAAGATTGCAAAATATTTGATAACAAAATGTTGGTGACAGATAAACTTGAAATTAAACCCACGGTAGTAGGAGGGGGTGGAGAAGTTTCTTCTGTGTGCATAAATCAGGCTTTTCTATCCAAATCGCTAAGGCTTCGGCAATACAAAGTATACGGAAGCTTGTCGATTTTGGAAGGCTTCTTTTTGACTTTATAGATGACTTTGAACGACTTCTCCTTGCAAATCGAATGACCAGTGTTGATTATATGCTCAATAATGGCGCTCCTTATTGCTCCGTTGTTACCTTTCCGTAGCCAGGCGGGATAGTGTTCTTGAACTCTTTTAGACAAAACTCGCATCGAACGACCTATATACCTCCCTCCGCAAGAGCAGGTGAATTGGTAGATACACATGGAAGTGGTCAAATGCGATAGTTTATCTTTAGAGTAGTTGAAGAACAATGGCCGGGAGGAAAATGTCAGTCGTAGTGTGGCAGCGAAGAATGTCCTTCTGAGAGCAGTAGATATCCTCTTCTAATTGAGTATTGAGCCTGGTTCGAACACGTGAACCACTAGATGAAAGTCCAGTGCCTACACTAATGAGTCACATTTCTAAAATTATTCTAATATACATGAATGATGCTACAAAGATGAAAGTGGAATGAAGTATACACTTATCTCATATCCACAGTGTCTTTGTTTTGGCTTTCTAATCCATGAGTATGATTTAGGATATTTAAGCAAACTTACCTTACTCTTTGAATATGATTTTTATTAGCGACAACAATACACAATCATATAACGATTGAAACACAGGGAAACTATTACTGTGCCATAACTATCCTCAAGAATTTCTTTCGAAATTCTCATCGGGAAGAAATACATAAAATTGGTTTGGTCACAGTATGAAGAAGACAGAATTTCATACACCCACCAAATAAGGAAGAAAAATCCAAAAAACACTAATTCATGACCATCAGGGTAACAATAAAAGCTAAAAATCAGTCGAAAGATAAATTTCTCCAGCTATGCAGCTAGACAAACTTATTTAATTCGCATAATTTCGGCTTATGCCTGTACAGGGAGTGAAATATTAGATCGATCCCATTTCGTATATAGTAGTATGATAATTCAACTTAATTTAAGTTCCATTAATACAAATTCTCTAGAAAAACACTCCTATACTCCTATACGTGTATTGACACATCATAGAATGAGGTAAAGTAAGTAGTCTTTCCACCAATACAATTTGAATGCTCAAGAATTTGATCACTGAATCATCACCTAACATATTCAATAGGAATAATTGAATACCATTACTGAGTGTATTGAAATTTCTGCTGCTATTAATATCATAGGATATATAGTTCAGATCAAACAGGGTTATTAACATGTGTGTAAACCTTGGTTACACTGTGGTTGCATGCAATTACACATTTTTTGTTAAATATATAGGCTGAGCTATAAAACGGTGTTATTTACAAATTTAGGTTTTGAACACAATGATGCATAATCATATGGTAACGACAGAAGATAAGGGAGTTAGTAACGAACTTCTTTATGGAGGAAAAGACATCGTATTTATACACGAAGTCAGTGGAAAATAAATTGTTCCGATTGGTCAGTGATTAGTCCGAGGCTAAACAGTGAGACGAAAAGTTGTCCAATGAAACTATTCAACGTCCACTACGCAAACCAAGTCCAGATTTGAGGAATAAACACATCTACTTTTACAGCCATTGGCTTAAAATGTTGACTTCGATTTTGACCGCTTCCTATCAGTCTTCATCTATACACACTCCTTATAAATCTTGCCCGTAACACACGCCACAACATCAGTTTGTTTTATTACTTCAGAATAACTTATGGATTTATGTTTTAAGTAAACGACAAATAAAATCCATTCATAGCACTATTCTATCTCATTTTGTGGATATAGAACACAAGATTGATGTTAACGAGGTGGCTTTCAAAGTCATCTACCGCATACCAACCAACTAATCTTAACTTTATCTTAAGAGTTCGTCTACTACATATTGCTTAGGATCGCTGTCGGGGTCCACATTAAGAAACCTAACTTATGTATCCAAAAGAAATTGGTTGGTTCAGACATTGTCCTTACCTTGGCCATCTAGGTTCTAATAATCCTCAATTTTTTGTGGAAATTTCCTTAATTTTATTTTATATTCTATTTGCCATTATATTTTTATGCTTATTATAACTTATCATCTTTAGTGAACTGTAATTCCATCGATCTTACGTAACAAATCGATAGTATTTAAAAACGTTGTTAGTGACGACTATCCTAGAATGTTCTGTGCATATAAACATATATATATATATATATATATATATATATATAATTGAGAAGCCAGAAGAGGAAATTTTTGTTTCTTCTAAATATTTCAAAATGTTACTCAGTGATTTCTATGTTATTCAGGTTAACTTTTATTTTCCCTTTTTTGTATTATAGTACAAATTCAGTGATCCAGATGCACGAAAAGAGATTTTGCCAAATAGTGAAGATGACAGACATCAACCTTATAGTTTGTGTTTTATTTAATTTCAAGTGATTGGTATACTTGTTTCCATACTGCTAGTGTGTATATTACAGATCTTACTGTCTTCTCCTTTTTATTTAGTAAAATTGTACTAATAAGTATTTGTACAGAAATATTTAAATATACATGTAATTTATAGTTTAAATGATTGTTTTCCAGTTAAATGTCTGGTTTCATCGTTGATATTTGTGTTTGCCATGCGTTTGACCAACTGTTGAAGTTGCTTCAGACTCCGTTACAATGTTTTGTATTGTTTGAGTAAGAGTATTTAATGATGTGGAAGTGGGATTTAATCTTTGCCACTATGCGCAATAACAAAGTGCTTTAGCCCCTGTTTATTTTGTGCTCTTTTTTTGACAATTTCATTTTAGACAGATTGTTAATCGACAGTAACTATTTTCTTTTATTCATAACCTCGAATGACTACGATCAAATAGTATGAGTAAATTGTTACTAGATTACGGTTTGAACCATTTGTTTTTATGATTATGTGCATAAATATAGCAGTAAGTTAATGGTCAGATATCAAAGCGCTATAATCGTGTATATTATTATGTACATAGATGTTTTGAACTGTAATCTAGTAATAATTCACTCTTATACACCTCCCTCAAATTATTTGGTCGTAATGATTCGATGTTATAAAACGTGATTGTTGTTAATGTCAACTGTTCCTATAGCGCGCTATATCGTGAATTGGCAGAGGTTAGAATTCATGGGCCATTGGATCGGGTCCCAGTGGTTTAATGGTATAGGAGCTCGCCTTGTAACCAGAAGGTCTCGGGTTCGAACCCCAGTGGGTGCGTACTGATGAAGAGTCCCAAACTAGGACGAAACAGCTGTGCAGTACTCCCAGGTTTTCCAATGGTTCTCTAACCAATGTCAGCTCATGATGAAATCCTGTAATGAATTCTCTTTGTTCATTAACCAGTGTTTTAATTCGTATTGGATATTTTTAGACAGTAAAATCGTTAATCTCTTTATGTGTCAGTTGTTGGTTCAACATACTGTGTTGGTCAGTTTATTGAGTACTGCTATTATTCAGACATTCACCTGTTTATTTGTTCTTCAACGATTATGATTACGGCCTATTGTTGTTTACCTATCTAAATTATCTTGTTATCAACAGCTTGAGATATTTTTAATCATTATTTCTATTATTTTATTCCTTTACGTTCCTAGTGGAACATACGGCGTCGTCAAGCTAGAGCTTTGCAGTTTCTGTAGCAGTGGTTTTTATTTTCATGGAGTGGATTTGCCAGCCTCATGCCTAACCTTCCCTCTTTACCGGTCCCATTACCGACTTAGTGATATCTAAGAATACGTCGGCCAGCGGTCGAACCCTAGACCACTTACGTGGTTAGAAAACAGTCTACTGATGAATCACCGATGCCTTATAAAGGGTAAATAGGTGTCTATAAACATTTCCTGAGAAAAGTATAAAGGAATCAGATTCGCTTAAATTGTATTGACTGGATATTTGAACAAGCATATATGGACGATTGGTTACAGAGTTTCATCATGAGCTGACATTGGTTAGAGAACCATTGGAAAACCTGGTAGTACTGGACAGCTGTTTCGTCCTAGTTTGGGACTCTTCATCAGTACGCACCCACTGGGGTTCGAACCCGGGACCTTCTGGTTACAAGGTGAGCTCGCATACCATTAAGCCACTGGGACCCGATGGGTTCGACACCCAGTGGGTGCGTACTGATGAAGAGTCCCAAACTAGGACGAAACAACTGTCCAGTACTCCCATGTTTTCCAATGGTTCTCTAACAAATGTCAGCTCATGATGAAGTCCAGTAACCAATTAACCAAATCCCTACAAACCAATACTTGAATATATGGATGAGATGTGCTGAAATTAAAACAGATCATAGATTCTGCAAAATTATCTTTTGTAACGACACCATATCGCTTTAATTCTAAACAAATTTCAAAAATGTTAAAATATTCCAATGAAAGGCCATGTTTGCAGTAAGTGATACTGGAATGTTATTCAGTTTTCTGAGCGTTATTTCAATCGTAAACTTATTAATTAAATAGTGAAATTTAGTATTTACTTAATGCATATCTTTTGCACAGTGCTATAGTCGTTGATGCATAGATGTGGTTTCTTCAAATGTTTTCCCCCCCAGTAGAGATAAATAAGCTCGCATATGTCATAAAATGCTTTTGATAGTCATCAAATCATGTATAATTGAAAATCACTAGTTACCATGATTATTTGAAGAAAAAAACTAGTCGACTGATCGATTTCAGTGACCGAATAATTTGTAGTGGGTAGGAATGACCGGAAAGTTCAACATTTGCATAAATCTTCTTCTGTTTGATGAAATTGGACGTTATTTAGAGCAAAAATGTTTAGTAAATATTTTTCTCACAAACACAACAAAGTTATGAATGTAACTAAGAAACTCCGTATGTGTTCTTGTTATTGTATTGTGAAACTTATAATACTATTAACTGGATGGTGTAAGTGGAACATAGTGTGAACCCTTTATCTAATGCGTGAAAGTCAAGTGCTTAGACAGGTGAATCAGACCAGAAATGCTGAAACCGAAATACTATAATATAATTTCTTTGTATATGAATTTTGTAAGGTGGGGTAAAAGACACTTTACTTACAGAATTACAATCTGTAGAAAAATAAGATTTTCCATATGCTATTGATTTAAGGTTTCGATTTTCAAAAAGCGACTGGTTGTGTGGATTGGTTTTCGGTTACTCATATTTCTGTTATAAGGGACATGATGTTTAGAAAGTTGATTGAACACTGGACATGTAGAATACTTGGTCAAATATTCCTCTGTGGGTCATGTGTCTGCGTCCACTGCTCTTTTTACGGCGTTTCGCTTGTACTTGCAATGATCCTAGCTATTCGAAATACCAGAGGCATATTGCAATATGAGGTGGAATTAATTTGTTTAGATAAAGGGATTGAATACAGGATAAGCGTCTTCAACTGCAATTGATAAAAAATTGTGAAACTACTGAGGATTTATAACAGTATTATGTCTAGCCTGCTTTTGATTGTCTTTTATATAATATAGTATATATGTTTGTTGTATTCGTTTTTTCAGGATACAATAATTATAAAGTTGTTGCCAGCTATTCCAAGAATATTTAGTGGTCTTTCTTTGGTTGGAATAGTATTTGGGTTATATCATTACCTCTGTGGGACGCATTCACCCTTTTTTGTACAGTATAGTTTACTCTATGGAAAGGTAAAACCTGCATATTGTGAAGCATTCGAGTGTTTAAGAGTTCCTAAAAGGTATGTTTTGAAGTTTTCATTACTTTTCAGAAATTTTTCTGTATTGCATTTTGTAGCTAATTATTTGCACCTATGGATAACTTTTAAAGATGTCCTAATAAGTTCGAAATATAATTTCAGGGTTTAATATTAAAGTTTTAATTGTTGAGTCACAGAATCAAATACTCTGCGTCCACCAACCATTTAAATCATTGTAAACTACTCTGCTTACCTTAATTAGGAAAGATCAGTTGACGTAATAACATGTACATTTCTCTGAAAATGTCTAGAACAGAACATCAATCATTCACTTTCCATATACATTAACCAACCTATTGAACCATCACCTCGGCTCGACACATGCGGAACAGTTGCTTCCTATTTGGATTCCACTCGAGAACCCGACCTTTTGCGTCACTCGGAGGTTTCTTCATCGTGTATCCAATCTACCTTCATATCCTTCTGTGTGTTTATTGAGAAGGGGATTCATAGCTGATTCGTTGTCAGAGTTGCTTGTTGCTTATCTGATCCTCCGTAAAAGCACCTAAATCCTAAAAACCTCTACACTGACTTCAGAGTTATGGATTAAGCCTGTTTCTGGTAAATCCACTCATCCAATGCATCGTTTACTCTTTCCAAGACAATTGCGCTTAATAATTTGCTTCATGAAAAATTCCATTCGAACATAATTAGACAGAAGACCACTACTTCAACTAAGAGTCTCTTTTCAGCGAATTCATTTTCATAGCTGTAAAATCACAAATATATATGGTTGTTTTGTATGTGTGTGTACATTAAATTTATCAAACAAAAATACAATTAGTAAGTTCAGATGAATTGGATATTGGTTGACATAAGAGGGTAGTAACAAAAGTGATGAGTTGTCACAAATGATTGTTAAGGAAGAGTTACGTAATAACGTGAATAGTTTGATGAAAGAGTTGTGCTCAGGTTGTAAATGGAAACAAAATAACATACGGAATTACGCAAGGGTTTTAAGTAGTTGGAAAAATAAGCATACAAACAAAAGTTAAGTCATATCAACGGAGTTGTTACCATGAGAGTAGAAGTGGTGTAATAATTTTCTTTTGTATGCATAGTTCTGGTTCTTCCAACTGAATGGCTAGGGCTTCTGCGATTCAAAGAAGACGGAAACGTATTGTCTTTGGAAGGTTGTTCTTCACTTTGTAGATTACTTTGAAGGAGGCGTTTGTTGAGATGGAATGACCAGTGTTGACGAGATGTTCGATTATTGCACTCCTTATACGGCCATTACTTCCTTTCTGCAGCCACACTGGATAGTGTTCTTTGACCCTTTTTGACAGGATGCGCGTTGAACGACCGATATACCTGGCTCCACAGCAACAGGTGAACTGATATATACACATAGAAGTGGTCAGGTGCGGGATCTTGTCCTTTGGGCTTCTGCAGATCAGCGGGTGACTGGAGAACACTACTCTCAATGTTGCCGCAAAGAAAGTTCTTCTTAAAGAAGTGGAAATTCTCCTCCTAAGGACATCACTGAGTAGGTCACCTTTGAAGTCGAGGTTCATATAAAGTATCTTTTTTGGCACGGATGGTGTCTCTTGCTTTTGGATTTTCTGTTTGATGTTTTTGTCTACGAATCTTGATGGATAACCGTTTTGTATGAAGGTTTCTTTCAGGAAGTGTAGTTCTTCTTCCAGGGTATCAGAGCTGCAGATGCGTCGGACGCGAGTGGCAAGAGATCTAATTAGGTTTCTTTTTCGACTGATTGGTACCCAGCTGTAGAAGCTTGTCAGTTGGCCGTTCCATGTGGGTTTCCTATGGATGGACCTTCTTAAAGTTCCGTTAGCTCTCCTTGTAGGTTCAACATCAAGAAAAGTAATTTTAGATTCAATTTCAATTTCAAGAGTGAACTGTACAGCTGAATGGCATTTGTTGAATATTTGTAGTAACTGATTGAGATCGAGACCGTCATCACAAATAATAAAGATGTCGTCCACATATGTAAAATACAATTGGAAATTGTCAATAGTTGATTTGAGTGGGCCGTTCTCGAGATTTGCCATGAGCCTTCGACAGTCAAGGAACTCAATGGGTTTCTACGGTTCTCTGTCAAACTTGCGATAGCGAAAATAACTTTTTTCAATGATTGTATCACCAATCGTGAATATCCAAAGTGGTTTTGGAAAGCACTGAGAAGAAGTCACATATATCCCAACACAAAATCTCTCCGACGACATGCATTGAATCTTACCGACTCTATTAAAGCATGTATTCCAGAACTGCAACGCAACATTTCACAAAGGTCTCCAGCCATCCACGATTTGCTACCTAGTGAAACTCAGAGGTTTACGGAATACGCCAATACAGTCACTGAAAAACGGTTACAATCTACTATATCCCAACTCACAAAAAGCCTCAGATCTATCAAAGCACACAAACAGTTTCCTGATGACCCTTCAAAATTCGTATTTAACTACTCTTCAGTAGACATTTATAAAATTATATTTGTAAAATCTCAGCGAAATTGAAATGAGTAATTCCAACGTTTCGTTCGGCAATCTGGTCCGAACTTCTTCAGGGAAATTAATCGAAATTAACATAACAGAGGTTTATATATAAAAGGAACATCTCTTGTTTCTGAAACTTTGTCCAATCATGAGCCATGAAACAGGCGTCAAAATGTATAGTAAACAAAATTGTATGAACTGTGATCAAAATTTGACCTCAGACTTTCAAAATTAGTCTACTTTTGTTAAAATATATGTGTATATGCAGTATACAATGGCGTGTGTGTGTGTGTGTGTGGGTGAACAGTCATAAAACATTTGTTATTCTCTCCATAAGAAGACGTAGATAATCGGGAATTTGACCAAGTGTGACTAGTTGTTGATACATATCCAAATTTTATTTATTAGTCAGGATTTGCCATGCATCAGCTAACATCACACCTTCACGTCTGTTCAAACTGTTGGGATTCACCCATATATGTAGGGCTTCTGCAGTCAGTCTTTCTTTATATGAACCAAAACCTTTCTGTAAAACCTTAGTCTTATCAAAGTCGATTTTGTGTCCCGTTTCTATCGAATGCAGTGCAATCGCTGAGTTGTTTTCTAGCTTCTTCAAGTCTGCAGAGGTCTTTGGAACCACCTTTAGACATTGTTTATGCTCTTTCACTCTTACATTTACCTGTCTGGAAGTTTCTCCTACATATACGGCGTTACAATCCCCACAATTGATCTGGTATACGCAATTCTGCTGGTTTTCTTGTTCTATTTTATCCTTAACCTTCACCAGTAATGAGCGTAAGGTGTTAGTTGCACGAAAATACACTCTTATGTTATGATCGTTAATGATTCGCTTTATTTCATCGGATGTTTCTTTGCGGTAAGGAATCACCGCTGTACTAACCCAATTCTTAGCATCAGGTTTCGATTCATCCTTATCTTCACATTTTAAATATCTTTTTATGAAGTCTTTAGGATAATTATTTGATTCAAGAGTGGATTGAACCAATTTTAGTTCCTTGCTAATATCTTCCTCCTCAGTAACTAGACGTTTGGCTCTGTTGATCAGATTCTTGGCCACAGTTACTTTGGTGGTAAATGGGTGAGCTGAATAGTAGTCTAGGTATCTATCCGAATTTGTCGGCTTTCTGAAAATGTTTATTTTAAATTTGCCATCTAATTTTCTTTTTACTAAACAGTCCAGGAATGCCAACTCATTCTCATCGGATTCAACCTCTTTGGAAAACTTGATAGTTTTTGACATTGTTTATTAAGTGAAAAAGTTCATTTAACAAACTACGTTTGATTATGACGAAGGTATCATCTACGTATCTTAACCACATCTTTAGGGGACTAGGGCATCTCATAATTGCATTTGTTTCTAATGAGTGCATAAACAGATTGGCGACTAGCGGAGATACTGGTGATCCCATAGCAATGCCTCCTGTTTGACGGTAAAGAACCCCTCTAAATGTAAATAACGTGGATCGAAGACACAATTCTAATGCCTTCATAATTTCGTCTGCATTTAAAGGACAACGACCACTGAGTTTGTCGTCAGAACAAAGTAAATTATAAATGATACTTAGAGAATCATTAGCGGGAACATTCGTGAATAATGAATAAACATCGAAACTTGCCATTACTTCATCTTCTTCAATATGAGTCAAGTTTATTTTTCTCTTAAATTCATACGAATTCTTCACTCCATGCTCCACTTTCATTTCATATGGGCTAAGTATTCGATAAATGTATTTAGAGAGTTTGTATGTTGGAGAATTAGTAAAATCCACTACTGGACGTAACGGAACTTCTGATTTGTGTATTTTTGGTAACCCATAAAATCTACAGGGGCTGCAACTTTTCGGAGCCAGAGTAAACCAAAGTGATACACCGAGCTTCTCTTTTATTGATTGTAACATTTTGCTTGTTTCAGCCTTCAGCTTATTTAATGTCGCCCTTGATTTATTCACGTTGAATTTTTCACAAGGTCCGTCATTAAGATGATCAATGGCCTTCTTTTCGTAATCTGCAGTGTTCATGACAACCGTGATATTGCCTTTATCTGCTCTTGTAATTATAATTGATTTATCTTGTTGTAGGTTTTTTAATGCCAGTTGCTCGTTTTTATTTATATTCGGCGCATTTGGCTTCTGGTTCAGCAGTACCGCCGTAATTTTGTGTCTTATGACGTTCGCCTCTTCGGCTTTCACTGACTTTAACGACGGTTCAATTGCTGGAACTACTTCGAAGGCTGATAAACGCGTTTTGTTTAAATGGAAATTAAGTCCCTTTTTAAGGAGGGATAGCTCATAATCTGATAAATTTCTATCAGAGAGATTAACCACCACTTTGTTCATATCCAGAAAATTATGACTAGACGGAGTTTCAAATTGATGGTGTTTAGGATTAATGTTTAGTTGAAGTAACCTATCGAACTTTTTGATTTGTCTTTTTCCGGAAGACTGACGATAAAATTATTTTTTAAACTTAAATATGTTGTCAATGAGAGTCTTCAAATCTGATGTA